GAGGGTAATTTGGCAATGAGATTTAAAACAAGCACTTTCTTGGATCCAGCAATTATACTTATAGAAGCTTGTCCTCCAGAAACATCCATGCAAGTGCTATTTACATTTGAGGTTGGCCACTGCCGCATTGTTTGAAATAGTGAATACTTGCGGACAACCTAAATGTTCATCAAAAAGGTGAACACTGAAATTATGGTATATCCATCTGGAGAATAATATTCAACCACTAAAAAGAATAAAGCTGATAGACTGACAAGGAAACAACTCCAAGAAATAGTGTAATAAAAAAAAAAGTCACAAAACAATAAGCTTAGAATTATCCCAATCACGCCAAGAAAATAAAATTTCGATCACCCTCCTACCTGTCTAAATGCGTGGTAAAGGATCCAGAAAAGTCACAAACCAGTAGAAGGGTGCCGCCCTCGGGATGAGGACAGCAACAGCAGACACCTTTCATTTTTCCCCCCAACCCTTCTCGTGTGTTTGCGTCTTTTATTGTCAGTATGCCTTCGTGTTGTTATTTGTGTGTTGCTTTTTTAAACAGATAATGAAAACTACGTGCTCCGAAATATTAACGGGTCATCTTTGATCAGTAGAGCCACTTTTGCCTTTCTTGTTCCCTAAATATTTTGGTAATTTTCTAAAATACGAAAGATCCTATCAGCATAGCTTGGATTGAAGAGGTCAAAAAAGATTTCCAATATGTATTTTTGTAGTCAAGGAAACTAGGGCTGTGAAAAATTTCTTATTCAAGGTCACACAGATTATAACATAAGTCTGAGGCTGGTTTTACAGTATGCCAGAGATCTCAATTAACCAGTATATATCATTATAGGGGCGAATTTTCTTTTATTATTTCCAATAAAGATCTACTTTGAAAATTACTTCTAAATCACACTATGACTTTTTGCACATTCCCGGCCAAGTTCAGGTCCATAGCACAAAACTCTTGACGTACAATGAGAACCATGCTCCAAGTCTTATCACAGCAGTACTCAACCCACCAAGAAGCCAAGAGGAACAGACACTCCGGATGAACTCCCTTAAAACAATATTTAGTGATTAAATCATCAGAGAAGCCCAGATCTGATTTAAAGTCCTATGCTAGTGAAAACTAACCTTCGTCACCTGCATTCATCTCAGGTTGCTGCAGGCAACAACGGCTTCATTGGTATGCGGTTTCCTTTTGGGGGAATAAAAATATTTTGGAACTAGATGGAGGAGGTAGTTGTACAATATTGTAAATGTGTTAAATGTCACTGGGTTGTTTACTTTAAAATGGTTGATTTTATGTTATGTGAACTTTACCTTAATAATTGTTTTTCCATCTATATACATGGCACCAAAGAGGGCAGATTTTGAAAGGAGACAGCAATTCCCACTGCTCCCCTGACTCATTCTATTCATACACATATACACACACACAAATAAGGACAGGCAGTCCCCAACCCATTCTGGTTCGGTGTTATGATGGTGTGAAAGCAACACACACTCAGTAGAAAGCAGTAATAAAATATAATCTTATTACATAATAATATTAATATGGTAAGAACGGTCTCATGATTCTCACGATGCCGGACAGCATCAGTGAGCCACAGCTCCCAATCGGTCATGTAATCACGAGGGTAAACTGGCACTCTACAGCGTACTGTGTTGCCAGATGATTTTGCCCAACTGTGGGCTAACCCAAGTGTTCTGAGAACAATGGAGGCAGGCTAGGCTAAGCTATGGTGTTCAGGAGGTTAGGTATATTAAATGCATTTTCAACTTACGGTATTTTTGAGTTATGAGGGGTTTATCAAGATGTAACCCCATCATAAGTCAAGGAGCATTTGTACACAGATACTCCTAAGCCTAGAAAAAAGCTCAGATGTTCATTCAACCAATGGTGGCTGTGTCCCAGGCCATGAGGACTCAGTCCTGCTGCCTCCAGGAGCTTCCTCTAGAGCAGGTGCTGTGCTGAGGAATCCTGACTTAACACAGGAAGCAATAGGGAGCCACACAGGAATGCCAAGTACAAGAGCACCATGATCACATGCATGCTCTGGATGGCTGATTTGACTACAGTGGGAGAATACGTAGGTGGCAAGAAGCAAAGGGATGACCCTTCAAAGAGGGGACAGTGGCAAGGGTGAGGTATTAACAGTGGCCTGCAAAAGGCAGTCCGCTTAAAGAAAGAGCAAAGACATAGACTTAATGGTCCCTGAAGACTGCCCAGATGGTAGCTGCAGCACCACACAGCTCTGCAGTGAGTGCAGGGCAGGTCCCACCACAGCATAGCGAGCAACACCCCAGCCTGGACCAGAAGCTGGGGGCAGGCGGGTAAAGTGTCCAGGCCACAGTCTGGTTTTCTCAGCTGCATGGCTGGGTGTAGAGAGATGCTGATTCCAAAGAGATTGGTATAAGGAGCGGTAGACTGTTCATTAGCCAATTCAAAATGTGTCTGATCCATATAAATCAATCCAGAAAGGAAGCTTTACTTTCCCAGGCTAGTCCAGGAAGTTTATTTAACTATAAATACTATTTATTGACCCAAATAACCTATGATTTCTAACGTATTTGCACAGGTCAAGGCATCCCGGGGGACCTCAGTGCCCACCGTCCACCCTGTAGAGCTCATGTTGAAGAGCTGAGATGCAGCCGACCAACCCACCTCCCCTCTCCCATGCCACCCTCATCGCCAAAGGGATGCGAACAAGCCTCCTTCCCATGGCCCTCGCACTCCACCAGGGCTCCCACTGGGAAAGGCAACAAACTTGGAAGGCAACTGGGAAACAACTGGGAATATGAAAAAGGTTCTTATTGAAGTGACAGAGGGATCCGGCAGCAAAAGGATCCCACAGCTGTGAGAGGAGGGGATGCGCACAGCGGCTGCTCTTGTCTGACCGTTTATCTCTGGTGTGCAGGGAGCTGCCTAAATAGTGCTTACAGATGAAGAGTTCTACCCAAAGTACCATTTTACTAATATTGTTTCCTTTGCTTATCAAATTAGCTATCCTAATGGTCTATTTTCTTAAAATGCAAAATTTAGTTTTAAAAACCAAATGTTAAAATCAGTTATTCAGGAAAGGGATTGAGTTTGTTCCTGGAAAAAGGATAAAAAAATATTGATGATAGCATCAAAGCTTCACATTTTTGAACTCTAAATATTAACTGTGAAATAAAACATGTCTTGGAAAGCTTTCTAAATTAATAAAGTCTGGTTTTGTGTTATAAATAGTATCACAGATAACAGAGAAGAATCTTGGCATCTTTCTTCTCAGGAAATTGATCAAGTTAAAAAAAAAAATCAACAGATTATTATAACCCTTTTGGGAACAAGATGTCCTTTCTCTCTCAAAACTATCTGCAACAAAACTGGTAGCTTTAAATTTTGTCTCCTAAACACTGTATCACCACTCAATCACCTATGAAAGCAAGTTTTTTCCTGCCTAACCAGATGATTTTTGTCTGTCTCCGATATGCAGGGCTATTCTGACTTCGGGTGTGCGAGGGTGTCTGTTGCTCAATAAATACAATGTCTTTTTTGCTCAAGCGTCTTATTTCTATTAAACTAAGATGATGGTGCTAACACGTTCACTTTTAAACAGTTCTCCTGACATGGTCACAGGTGCAGGAAGCAGGAGTGCTAGGGGTGTCATGCCAAGTGTCCGTATCATGGCAATGCCAGGTTAAGCCAACAGCTGAGCATGTCTGTGTTACTCAAACAGAAGTCACAGTGCATGAGCTGCTTACTGACACCTGTCAGGTAGAGGACACAGGCACCTGGTAGAAACCCTGCACCTCCTATGAGAGTGTTCAGAACTCGATTTCTTACCTAATTCAGTATCTGGTATAATTCATCCACCACTGCAATATGTCTGTTTGGCAGGTGAGTGAACCATTTTATACTAAACCAATCTCTTTCAGAGTAGTAACAGACTCCCAAGTTAACTGCTTTCTCTTCTTTTAATAAACAGGTAACGGCCAGGCATGGTGGCTCACACCTGTAATCCTAACACTCTGGGAGGCTGAGGCGGGAGGATCGCCTGAGCTCAGGAGTTTGAGACCAGTCTGAGCAAGAGTGAGATCCTATCTCTACTAAAAATAGAAAAAAATTAGCTGGGCATGGTGGCGCATGCCTGTAGTCCCAACTACTTGGGAGGCTGAGGCAGAAGGATCACTTGAGCCCAGGAGTTTGAGGTTGCTGTAAGCTAGGCTGACGCCACGGCACTCTAACCCAGCAGACAGAGCGAGACTCTGTCTCAAAAGAAAATAAATTAATTAATTAAAAAAATAAATAAATCTAGAGATGTCCCTGTGGACTCCATCCTCAAACTGATTCCACAACAGATCCTGAGGGCACCCAGCAGGTTACAGCACTCCACCCAAAAGGGAGCCCGTCTTCATTCATTCTTTCCAAGTGGTAACACATTATACATAAGCCAAAATCTAATATGTAAAAAATATGAAAGGGACATAAACCCAATTTAAAAAAGGTCAACACCCCAACAGGAAAATAAGAAAATATAATACATGACACCTGAATGCTTGAAAAGATGCTCAATCTCGCTCATAGGAAGATGCAAGTTCAGGCCGGGCGTGGCAGCTCACGCCTGTAATCCTAGCACTCTGGGAGGCCGAGGTGGGTGGATTGTTTGAGCTCAGGAGTTCGAGACCAGCCTGAGCAAGAGCAAGACCCTGTCTCTACTAATAAATAGAAAGAAATGATCTGGACAACT